ACTTGTGAAGACCACACATCGAGCCTCTCTGGGTCTCCATGGCTAAGCCCAGGCAACGGTGTACCCAGTCAAATAAATAAGGAGTGGCACTTCCACTTGACAGAGCAATCAGTAAACCCCACAACAAATTATCCTGTTCCAGTCACTTAGTTGCTATATGCTAATTGCAACCTAATTACTACCAGGAGCCAAAATTACGCTGCCATAGCCTCAGACAAAGTCCCAATCTATCCAGAAACGCACATCTCTCAGAAGGAAAAAATTTCTAAAGCTGGGAGAAAAGGTGAATTCAAAGTGTTCCCAGAAAGATGGGTACAGTCAGAAGACTCAAAAGATTTCAGAGGCAAAAGTCCAATTCCAAAACCACTAAATCTAATCAGCGCCAATTTAGTATCAGTCTTCTGCCTTCACCATAACCTGACAGGGCTCAAAACTGAATGCTAGGTCTATCTCACAGTGATTCAATAAAAAGGTTTTTTTCTTTTTTTCTTTTTTGCATTTTGGGTCACATCTGGTGATGAACAGTGGTTACTCCTGGCTCTGCACTCAGAAATTACTCCTGGCAGTGCTCAGGGGACCATATGGGATGCTTGGAATCGAACCCGGGTCGGCCACGTACAAGGCAAACGCCTTACCCGCTGTGCTATTGCTCTAGCCCCTCAATAAAAAGTTTTAAAAATCTTTTAAAAAATAAATCCAATGCAGACTAGACACCTTTATTGAGTCATAAAATCAATAAAATTGAAAAAAAATGAATGCCAACAGCCCAGGAGCAAAAATGCTTTGGACCTGATTTAGCAGAAGTTTCCCTCAGAAGAGGCTGGAAACAGTTGGGATAGTGTTTTCCAAAGTGGGTGGAACCGTCACCCACCCCAGGGTGCTGCTGGGCCAATCCAGGAGCACCTAAGGTGCCACTATGGGTGCCACCAAGGTCTTTCCTGAAAAGAGTGCAGGAGGTCAAGCCTGAGAACCTCTGACCTTACTACTACCTCCACAAGGCCTTAACAACATTTGTCAGACCACAGACAGTACAGGGCTAAGGTGCTTGCTTTACACATGGTCAGCTGCATTTGACACCCAGCATCGAATATTGTTCCCTCAGCACTTCCAGGAGTGATTCCCTAAGCAACACCGTGTGTAGCCCAGAAACAAACAAACAAACAAAATAAATAAATAAATAAAAAGCTTTGTCATCAAGAAATATAAAGATTTGAGGCTGGAGCAATAGCACAGCATGTAGAGCATTTGCCCTGCATGCAGCCAACTCGGGTTCAATCCCCAGCATTCCATATGGTCCCCCAGCACCACCAGGAGTAATTCCTAAGTGCAGAGCCAGGAGTAACCGCTGAGCATTGCTGGGTACGACCCAAAAAAAGCAAAAAAAAAAAAAAAAAAACCCAAAACCAAAACAGATTATTAAAATAATCTGTTCCTTCTTCACCAAGCCACTGGCAAGGATTGAGTCTGGCAACAGTTCATTGACTCTTGACTCAACACCCCAGAACACCTTTACCAAAACCATAGTCGACACATAATCCAAGAACACACTCTAGACATGATCAGCCTTTCGGTCCAGTGTATTATGCACTACCACTCTCTCATACTCTATTTTAATGAGTGTTGATTTCGGGTCACACCTGGGGGCCTGAGGCTTCTGCAGGCACAGTATGAGCTCAAGTCCTTAGACTTTTCTCCTTGATCCTTTTCTTATTATCTGAGGTATGGGTCACACCCAGCAGTGCTCAAGCACCTAGCTCTCTGCTCAGGAATGGCCCCTGGGAGTTCTGAGGGGACCATGTGTGATACAGGAAATCCAAACTGGGGTCAGCAGGAGGAAAGACAAGTGACTAAACCCTTCTACCATCCCTCTAGTCCAATCCTTAGTTTCTTTGTTGGGGGGGGGGGCAAACCCAGCAGTGCTCAGGGATGACTCCTGATGTTGCTCCAGTGATCTTATGTGGTGCTAAGAATCGAACCAGGAACCAGTCAATTGCATGCAAGGCAAGTGTCTACCCTGCTGTACTCTCTCTGGCTCCCACTTGAATCTTTTTTGCCCAGGGGAGGGGGGGAGGGCACACTAGGAGGTGCAGAGGTGCTCGGGGTTGTTTACTCCTGACTGCACTGGGATCACCGCTGGCAGTGCTGAGGAGTCAAATCAGATGCTGGGATTGAACCAGGTCAGCCCTGTGCAAAGCATGAACCCTACCTGCTGTACTATGCTCCAGCCCTCAGCCCCAAATAATTTTTATCCAAATATTAGTAGCAAATGCTGTTTGGGCTCATCTGTGAGAAATATGGAAGGACAGGTTCCTTCTAGCTTGCTCTTTTTCTTCTTTCATTAATATAATCCTTAAGACCTCATATGACCTTTTAAAAATCCTTCTAGGAAAATTTCTCCCTATTATAGAGGTAGATATGGGCTTTGCTTTTTGGGTCACACCCAGCGATGCAGAGGTTACTCCTGGCTCTGCACTCAGGAATTACTCCTGGCAGTGCTCGGGAGATCAATGCTGGGAACTGAACCCGGATTGGCCGCGGGCAAGGCAAATGCCCTACCCGCTGTGCTATCTATCGCTCCAGCCCCTGATATGGGCTTTCTAGACAGGAATAAAGATTAAAAGGAAGCTTTATTTCTATAAGTCCTTGCTCAGATAGGCAAATTCTGTGAGCTTTTTGTTGTGCAATTATTACTGACCTGGAAGTTATCATTAAAAAGGTGCTTGACATTTTTTTTTAAAGCAGAAAAAAAAAAAGGTGCTTGAGAGGCCAGAGAAATGGAACAGGGGTCAAGGCACTTGCCATGCACTGCTCAGGTCCTGGTTCAAATCCCTGCATGCTATATGGTTCCCCCAGTACCAGCAAGGGGTCTCTCATGAGCGCAGAGCCAGGAATAGCCTCTGAGCAGGGTGTGGCCAAAAGCTCAGCCCCCAATTTCCGCAACAAGATGCTTAAGAAGATGACAGGAGAGGCCAGAGACAGTGGATAGAGTGTTTGCCTTGCACACCGTGGACCCAGGTTCAATCCCCGGCATCACATATGGTCCCCCAAGCACCGCCAGGAGTAATTCCTGAGGGTTAGACCAGGAGAAACCCCTGAGCATCGCTGGGTGTGGCCTAAAAAGCAAAAAAAAAAAAAAGGAAGATGACATGACAAGAGAGGTGGCACCGGGACACTGATGGTGATGCGTGCAGGGATCTTGTGCATCAACACCATAAATGTCAACACAACTTTAAAACCCTAAAATATGATGATTTTAAAAAGAAAAGGCGCTTGAGGGCCATGAGGTAGTACTAAAGCACTTGCCTTGCATGCGGCTGGGACCAACCATATTTCCTGAGCAGCTTCACCAAGAGTGCTGCAGGGTTGGACCAACCACCCCCTAACCAAAAAAAGTGCTGGGGGAGGGGGGAACCTGGAGGGGGGAAGAGCTCAACAGACTGAGCACTAGCTTATAGGGGAGGAGTGGGGGCTGGGTCCAATTCCAGATACTGAATGATTTCCTGAACACCTCTAGGAGCCACCTCAAGTACTGTCTGTCAGGTGCGATCTGGCGTCATCCCCCAAATGTCTAGTACAGGCACCCAACCATCGAATTGGACCAGGGATGTAATAGCTCAGCACTGGCCTGGCATGCAGGCGTGAGGTTCTAAGTCTGCTCCCCAGCACTGCAAAATAAGATTTAAAAAAAATATAAAGGTTCTGACTGCCTTCTCTCACCACGACGAGGATTTTAGTGGCATCCCTCAACAGACACTCAGAGCGCCCCATCTCTGGGCAGATAATTGCACCGGATGGCTCCGACGGGGCCGAGGGCGCCCCGCCGCCGCCGCCGCCGAGTCCCCTTTCCGAGGTCCGACACGGAGCCCCGGCTGAGTCCTGACCCGACCCTCCCAACTCAGCACCCGGCCCGGCCCAGCGGCGGCGCAAACATGGCTGGCAGCCCCCCGCGCCGCTGCCCAATGTGTGCCAGCGGCTCCGCATTGTTCCTCGCTGGAGACCAGCGGGAAGAAAAGCGCCGGCGGAGCGGCGGCGGCGGCGAAGGCGACGGGCCCGTCCCGGATCCCAGACGAGACTTGAACCCGTGACCTCGGCCGGGCACACAATGGGCGGCCGCGCGGGCCGCCCCACGCCCCGCGCCGCGCCGCGCTCCCTCGGCCCGAGGCGACCCCCGGACCCCGACCATTGTGTGCGGCGGCGACCCGCCGAGCCCGCACCCGGGACTCACACAAAGCGGCGGGGCGGGGTGAGGGCTCGGGCGGCGGAGCGCGGCGGGCCCGGGGCGCCCCCGTTCCGCGGCGTTCAAAGATGGAAGCTGCTTCGGGGTCGCTCGAGAAACGCTCCCCCGCGGGCTCGGGGGGTGTGGGGGGGTGGGTGCGCGCCCGGGCGAGCCGGCTCCGCGTCGCCCAACCCACGCGGCCGCCGCCGGCCCCGGGGCAGCAGGAGGAGCAGCCGCCGAGCCCGAGGGGGGTGGGGGGTGGGGGGCCCGGGCGGCGCGGCGAGCCGCAGGCCCGGGTCCCCGCACGGCGCTGGAGGTCGGGGCCCGGGGTCCCTCCATCTTGAGACCGGGAAGGAGCCGGCGCGCCCCGCACAACGGCAGGCAGGCAGGCAGGCAGGGCGGGCGGACGCCGCCACCCGCCGCGGCCCTCGCAGCACCTGGCCCGGCCACCCCGTCCCGGGCCGCGCGCGCGCGCGCGTCCGCCCGCCCCCGGCCTGTCGGCCCGACCCCCCGCCCGGCTCCCGCGGGACGGACAACCCGGCCCGGCTCGGAAACTCGCGGGTCCGACCCCGACCCCCGCCTCAACTTCACCCCGCGGCCCCGCGCCCCCTCCCCCACCCACGCAACGACCTCCCGAGCCCCCCCACGCCGCCCCTCGCTCCGCCCCGGGCCCCCAACCCCCACTTCCTCCGGCAGGCGCCGCGGTCCCCGCTCCCCCTCAGCCCCGGCTCCCCCTCCGCGCCGCCGCCGCCGCCCCCGGCTCCACACAAAGCTCCGGACTCACCGCGCGGCCGGTCCCGGGCGCCGCCGCCGCCTCCGCCCGCCCGGGGACCCGGACCGTCGAACCGCTGCTACGGGGCGCCGGCCGCCATTCGCTCCGCGGCCCTCCCCGCCCGCCCCGCCGCGGCGCCGGCCTCCGGCCCTCCCCGCGCCGCCCGCCCCGCCCGGCCGCTGCCGCCGTGTCCGGGCCACGGGTCCCTCAGCCGCCGCCGCCGCCGCCGCCGCCGCCGCCGCCGCGATCCGGGCCGGCCAGGGCGGCCTGCAAGCCCCGGACACCGGACGACCGGGCCCGCGGATCGGGATCCGGATTCCGGGCTGCGGCGGTGCAGGCTGGAGCGAGCGAGCACAGGGGAAACCCGGAACCTGGATGGAGCAGCCCCGGCTCGGTCTCGGAATGCGCGGCCACTCGGAGCCCGGATTAGACAGCGAGCGGCTCCCGGAGCGCTGGAAAACCCGGCGAGCCGGTTAAAGGAGCGATCAAGGGGCAGAAACCTGGATCGGAGAGCTCGAACCTAACGCTCCTCCTCGTGGGAAGAACTGTCGCCGGGGCGGACGTCCTCGCCGAGGGGTCTCTGGGTAAGTGTCGCACCTCCGACACGGGTCGCCCTGGTGCTGGAGGCGTCCGCCGGAGCGTGCAGTCGGCCGAGGGATGCGAGCGCGAGTGGCCACAAAGAACAGCACCGCGGGCACGGCGCTGGCTGCTTTCATCCATATTAGTCCTGCGATTCCGCAAAAAAAGTAGCAACCCCCTAATTTTGTAGCCTTTGTTCTCCAGGTTTTTGAGGATTGCTATTTGCTTTTCTTCCTTTTTACCAGTCCCCCTGCCACCCAAATGTATCACTGGATCACCAGCTCTTGTTGCTTTTTATTATCCGAAAGGCCTGTTTCAGCCCTTCAGTCTAACGATTATAACTTTTATCAATTCTTCTTCGCCATTCATCTATCTGATTGCCTTGCACCCTGCCTGGAACACAGGCGAAATTGACGATCGCTTAAGTGAACACTCCCAACCCACCTCTCCTTTCCAAATATGTATTTTTCATGACTTCCTCCATCCACCAACAGAAGCTTAATTGTCATGTATGCCCCATATTTTTTTTCTTTTTTTATTTTTGGGTCACATTCGGCAATGCACAAGGGGTTACCCCTGGCTCATGCACTCAGAAATTACTCCTGGTGGTGCTCAGGGGACTGTGTGGGATGCTGGGAATCGAACCCAGGTCAGCTGCGTGCAAGGCAAATGCCCGCTGTGCTATCGCTCTAGTCCCCATGCCCCATATATTATTTTTTATTTAGATTTTTATTAGTGAAACACCATGAGGTACAGTTGTAGATTTACCATGCCCCATATTCTTTTTGGCTATCGGGATATAGCCCATGGTGCTCAGAGCATACTTCTATCTCTGTGTTCAGGGATCACTCCTTGTGGAAGGGGAGACCATATGGGATATTGGGCTGGATTGGCCATGTACAAGGCAAGTGCCCTACCCGCTGTACTCTCTCTCTGGCCTCCAACTCTGCAATTTTTATCTTTCCTTTCTTCCCCCAGTACCAGGAGTTCTTTGGTAATACCATTCAAAAGAATCTGTGACTTGGGAGATAGAGCCGGACCATAAAATCCCTTTCCCTTCACACACACACACACACACACACACACACACACACACACACACACTTGGGAAAAGGGAGAGAGTTCTGATTAAAGATTATCCCATGCCTCTCTGGTCTAGGACGAATAATCTCCCTTTGACCAATCAGTATGAGTACTTCTAGAACACAAGGACAGAAATGATCCTGGGAGGGTTGGAGTAATTATACTGCAAGTAGGGTGCCTGCCTTTCACGAGGCCTTCTCAGGTTCCATCCCTGGCACCACATATGGTTCCTGGTCCCTGCCTAGAATGATCCGTGAGTGAAAAGCCAGGAGTAAGCCCTAAGCACTGTTGGATGTGGCCCCAAAACAAGCAAAAATAAATGATCCCAGGGCTGGAAAGCTAGTACAGAGGGTAGAGCATTTGCCTTGCAAATGCGCCCAACGCCCAGCATTCCATATGGTCTCCCAGGCACCACTAGGAGTGATCCCTGAGTACAGGAATATGCCCTGAGCATTGCCAGGTATGGATTAAAAATGGAAGAAAGGAAGGAGAGAGGGAGGAAGGAACGAAGGAACGAAGGAAGGAACGAAGGAAGGAATCAATCCCAGGAAACAACAATCTTTAAATCTGCCTGGTGTGGTGTTACTAGTGAGAGTTCTACTTAGCAAGTCTAAGAGAAAGTATATAGTTGATAGTGTTTTAGGATGTCATTAAATTAAGGGATAAAAGTCAAGCCAAAGGAAAGTGAATATTCCTACAGTGAACCTTGCTGTTTAGCCTGAGAAGTTCTCAAACCTGGAAGAAACTTTTAAAGTCTCAACTAGAGTGCTCGCTTCATCAGCACATATACTAAAAATTGAAACGATACAGAGAAGATTAGCATGGTCCCTGCGCAAGGATGACATGCAAATTCGTGAAGCATTCCATATTTTTGGCCAGCTGCACATGCAAGGGGAAAAGGCAGCTCAGATAGAGAAGGGAACACCAAGTAAAGGGTGTTGGGAGGATCCTCCCGGGATAAGAGATGCATGCTGAAAGTACACTATAGACTGAACATGATTGCCACTCAATGCCTCTTTTGCAAACCACAGCACCCAAAAGGAGAGAGAGAACAAAAGGGAATGCCCTGCCACGGGGGTGAGGTGGGATGGGGAAGTGGGAGGGTGGGAGGGATGCTGGGAGCATTGGAGGTGGGGAATGGGCACTGGTGGAGGGATGGGTACTCAATCATTGTATAACTGAAACCCAAGCACAAAAATTTGTAAGTCTACAACTGTACCTCATGGTGTTTCACTAATAAAAATTTAAAAATAAATAAAATCTCAACTAGGTGGTTTGTATTTTTAATTTTTTATTGAATATCCATGAGATAGACCATTACAAAGCTGTTCATGATTGGGTTTCAGTCATACAAAGATTCAACACCCGTCCCTCCACCAGTGTATATTTCCCATCACCAATGTCCATTTTCTTTCCACCATCCCCCAACAGGTCCCCCCCCACCCAATCTGCCTCTATGGCAGGCACTTTTTTCCTTTCTCTTTCTCCTTTTGTTCATTATGGTTTGCAGTACAAGTATTGAGAGGTCATTGTGTTTGTTTATGGCATTCAATATTTTTATCTGGACTGTAAGGCTGGAATAACTTTTCAATTGGGCGGCTGCTTTGGGGTGTGATGTGACTGCCGAGGCTTCTGGAAGTACAGGAAGGCAGGGGGAGGTAGCCCATCCCAACCCTGAGAAAGCCTGGATATTTCAGTTACAAAACCCACATAGCCAAATTTTCAGCAGATTATATCTTGGCAAGGTACATCCTGAGACAGTGGAGTCAGGCCAGGGGTACAGTGGCAATTTTAGATTGTGGGAGCAAGCCACTGCCTGGGACTCTGCTTGGGCAGGCACCAGAACGACCTGCCCCCTCCAGTTTACCCTATTCTGTTCAGCCTTGGATGGGTCCAAGATTAACTGTGGCTTTTGATATCTTTCAGGATTTATTTATTGGTAAGCAAGGCTGATAAATGAGCATGTATAGCTGAGCCAGAGGTGGTTTGTGGGCATGGTTCCCACATACCTAACATTTGGCCATTTCTTTTCTCAGGAAACTTGGTCCCGAGTTGTTGTGGTCTAGCTAGAGGTACAGTGGCAATTTTGGAATATCAGGAAGCCTCAAAGCACCATCAGGCTGATGCTCTCACGCTGCAGGTACCGGCTGACCTGGTAACCTGTTGGCAGTTCCACACCCCCAAGAACTAGATGTTCTTTACAGAAGCAATTTTTTTTTTGTTTTGAAGCCACAACTAGCTGAGGGGTTATTTCCTATGTGTTGTTGGTGGTGATGTGGGGATGGGAGTGTACCTCTGGCAGTGCTCAAGGGACCAGGCAGTGCTCAGGGAACAGCTCCCAGACCTCCCACATGCAAATCCTATACACCAGCCTTTTGAGCTCTTTCCCTGTCCTCCAGAGGAAAATCTTAAATTTCCTCTTCCCGTTCCCCTAGGCTAGGGACTGTAAAATTACAATCTATAGGACAGATAATGATCTATAGGTTATGGTCTATAGCACTACAGGATATACCTATTTTGGACATCCCAGGAACAAAAAATGTCTATGACTTTTTTTTTTTTTTTTGCTTTTTGGGTCACACCTGGAGATGCACAGGGGTTACTCTTGGCTCTGCACTCAGGAATTACCCTGGCGGTGCTCGGGACCATATGGAATGCTGGGAATCGAACCCAGGTCGGCCGTGTGCAAGGCAAACGCCTTACCGCTGTGCTATTGCTCCATCCCCTCTGATAACATTTTTAAATGGCTGAAAATAATTTTGTGCCTGGTAAGTTATCTGAAACTTCTTTTTCACTGTCTACAAGTTTTATTGGCTCATAGGCATATTCATTCATTTTATATATTATCCATGGACTCATTTACACTACAAGAGCAAAGTTGAACAGTTGGAGTTTCTAACACTTCGAACACTTTTAAAGTCTGAATTATTTGGCCTTTTATCAAAAAGTGCTTGACCTCTTCAAGCACTGTCTTGGAGAACTTTTTACCTGATATTAATGTTCTATAATTGTACTACCAAATTCAGAAGTCACTAGCTACATGAAGCTGAAAACATTTGAAATATAGTTGATGTGTCTAAAGAGTTGTTCTCTTCATTTAATTTATATAACCATATGTGGCTAGTGGTTACTGTAACAGATAATTACAGACTCTTCTAAAAATCTAAGTGGGGCAGGAACTGCCTTGCATGTGGTTGACCCTTGTTCAATCCCCCAGCATCCCATTTGGTCCCCTGAGCCTCACCAGGAGTGATACCTGAGAACTGCTGGGTGTGGCCCCAAGACCAAAACTAAGTATGATCTTGTATGTTATTATTTTGCCATTTTCCCCCTCTTCTCCCATGACATACTTTTCTGTGGACCCTCAGTGCCTCCCACACTCCCTGGCCCTACTTACCTGCCTCCAAGCTAGGATCCCATATAGTACAGTACATATGAGGTTTTCTTTAGGAGCACTTTTATCTCAGTGGAAAGCTGAAATCTGATCCATCTACCAAGTTTCATCCTAAGGTTTATTCTACATTGTGTGCAAAATACATAAGATGTGCTCTCCATGCTGTCAGACGGTGGCATGGTGACTTTCTTTGCGTGAGTGAAGTAAAAGGTCCTCCACATGAGGATTCCCTGCTAGTGTGCGCAATATGGATCACCTTCATCTACACACATTCATAGAAGTTGGAAGACAGCAGATATGTGCTTGCTATTTGAATCTCAAGGGGAAATGTGCCTTCAGCATTAGACTTTCTTTTTTTCCCCAAAGCCTAGTAAAGTGAAGTTAGCTGCTCTTTTTTTTTTCTTTTTGAGTCACACCCGGCAATGCACAGGGGTCATTCCTGGCTCTGCACTCAGGAATTACCCCTGACGGTGCTCAGGGGACCATATGAGATGCTGGGAATCGAACCTGGGTCGGCCGCATGCAAAGCAAACGCCTTACCCGCTGTGCTATCGCTCCAGCCCCCAGCTGATCTCTTTAGTTTAATAAACGCTTCTCTTTTTCTGGTCTTTTCTACAATCTTCTTGATCCTGGTTAGTGGCCCTAGTAAATGCATTAAAAGTTACTAAGCTTAAAAAAATCCACAGAAATAGTCTTTACTGTAGGCTGTAGTTAAAATGATGAGATTAAGGTTTATAGCTCATTAAAAAATTACTTATAAATTATATGTAAAAATCATCCTTTTGTTTGGCTTTTTTTGGTCACACCTGGTGATATTCAAGGGTTACTTACACCTGGTTCCTGGCAGTACTAAGGGGTCCATAAGGGATGTAGGGGATCAAACCAGGGTTGGCCAAGTGCAAGGCAAAACTCCCTCCCCGCTGTACTATCGCTCGAGCCCCTAAAAATAATCTTTGAAGCCTGAACTTTTTGGATTTGGAGAGATAGTATAGTGGGGTAGGGCAAGTGCCTTTCATATGGCTGACCTGTGTTCAATGCCTGGCACCCGCAATGGTCCCAAGAGCACCAGGAGTGAGCCCTGAGTGCAGAGCTAAGAGTAAACCCTGAGCACTGCTGGGTGTGGCCCAGAAAGCAAAAAAGTAACTTTTCATACCTGTTGGGGAGGTGGGGAGGGCTAGGGGAATGGATTTATGTAAACTCACAGCTTAAAAGGAGATAGGGAACTCTTAAATTCTTAGTTCAACAAGCATAGCAAGCAAAAATGAGAGAAAAAAAGGGGGGGAATACAACTACCACTTACTCTATTCCATTCCAAACATGACTGCAAAATGAAAGTAGCCTTGATCCTGACAGGGCAGGATTCCAGTTTCATATCTATCTTACTCTACACTATAATTAAGGCCAATTCTAGCCCGTAAAAGAAAACCAAACTGAAAACATAAGAATTGTTTAGGCACTATACAAATTTAGGGCCAAGGAAGCAACCTTCCAAAAGGGGTCTTTAAGCTCTGGAGGGAAACCAACTCAAATATGTAAACTTCCCTAAGCCCAGAGGAACTTCCCTGAGTTGGAGGGTCATGCTGTAAAAAGCACTGTACAGTCTATTCCTGAGCAAGTCTGTCCTTAGGCTGCTAAAAATTTCCTTGAGGTTTGAAATTATGCTATTCATCACTGGGCAATTGAAGGCATCTATCCCCAGGTCTCTCATACTCCCTGCCTCTCCCCCAGTCTCCATAAATCAAAGAGGAATCATATTATACCACTACCATGTGAACTCCAGACAGGCTTTTTGAAAAGAAATTTTCAAATTTCAAATTACTCCACCATTTACTCTTGTGGCTCCCGATGCGTATTTTGGATGCTGAGGTAGGTTCCTAAAATTATGTAATGTTCTTGTAGACTTTGTCTCAGCACAAAGATGGCTGCAGAACCCGGACTTTTGTAGCCCCTGATGTTTTCTTTGGGCATGCATACACACACTCTGTCCAGGTAGGAAATGAATTCAGACTCTTCTGGTATTCAGACTCTTCAAATAAAAAAGGCAGATATACCTTTTGTTCTCCCTAACTCTTCACTTCTTGCCCTTATTTAGATATTTAGAAAATCAGACAGGATTGGGGATGTGGCTAAGTGGTATGAGGTCCTGGGTTTGATCACCACAAGAAAGAAGAAAGATGAGGCCAAAGAGATAGTACAGCAGGTAAGTCACTTGCCTTGCATACAGCAGATCTGGGTTCAATCCCAGGCACCTAATAACATTCCCTCAGCCATACCAGAAGTGATTCCTGAGCACAGAGCCAGGTGTGGCCTCAAACCAAAAAATGGAAAATAGGGCTAGGGCCATAGTACAGCAGGGAGGGTGTTTGCATGCGGCTGACCTAGGTTCGATCCCCAGCAGTTCTCTAAGCACCACCAGAAGCATTTCCTGAGTGCAGAGACAGGAGTAGTCCCTGAGCATTGCCAAGTATGACCCAAAAAGTGTGGGGGGGGAGGGGAAAAAAAGCAAAAATCTGTCCCAGCACAAAACTCAGCGGTTGCTACTGCTTGTTGCTTGTTAAACTCTTCATTGCATAGCTAACTTGATGGGGCTTCGTTAATAACCCTGTATAAGGTCAACAGGAGGCTAGAAAGAAACTTTTTTCCTAAAGAGGGGCCTTTAGTTGTCCTTCACACTTCCTACACAGAAGTTAAACAGGGAAAGTGAATACTGCATGCTTGTATCAGTAAAGAATTAGGTGGGTTTCCCCTGGGAATCCAGAGTGATCAGGTCCTGAAAAACTAGTGCCTAGAGCAATGCAACAAGAAGGGTTCACAGCTGAGTGAACATCAATGCATAATGAGTGCAATTAAGCTCATTGTGCATTTCAATGGAAATAAACGCTGAATATGAAGGATTAAAGAAAGGGGAAATTAATCTTTTTCATAACACAGGGTACTTTTTTTTCCTTCTCTCCCTCATGCTTTCTTTTTAAGCACACAACTGCTGGAGAGAATCCAGCTTCCAGTTTGGTGATGCTGACTTATAAAAATCAGAACATTGCACATTTAAGATCATGAATTTCCTGAGTATGTGGCATCTCACATTTTGACAGCTCTCCTGACAGCTCTCCTGAACAGCCTCAGGAAAAAACTGAGTGGGGTCAAAATGGCTTGTAAAAAATCTCACTTCAAACCAACCTCTTGCTTCCCAAATCTCAGTGTTTCCTGGGCTGTGGATGGTTTAAAGAGTTTGATTTAGGGATCTGGGGAATTTGGATACTTTTCCTAAAGGGATTTTATTCTCCAGTTTTTCTAGTTCTCCTAGCTAAGTGATGCTTTTGCAACAGTAGCAAAATCAAAAGAACCAATTCATGTTGTCTAATGTCCTAACCTCCCAAACCAAAATGAGTAAGAAGCAGCACCTCTTCAGGTTAATGTATGTCTGCCAATGAAAATTACTCAGGTGTTGTATAGTCCGCTTTCTGTTTTTTTTTTTCCCCTTTTCTCAGGTTACTCAGCTTTTCAAGACTGTTGACATCAAGAGGTGCTGGACAGGGCCAGGAAAAGAGATGGTTCAACAGGCTCAGCTCAGGCTCTGCAAGTAGGAGGCATGTTTGATCCCTGGCACTGTGTAGAGCTCTGAGCATTGCCAGGTTTAAAACTCAAGTACAGTGCCAGGAATAGCCCCTGAGTGCTTGTTGGAGTTGGCCACAAAACAAAACACAAGGATATGTGGAACTAGAGCAGAAAACTTGCTGAAAATATTTTTTTTTTTAGTACAGGTTTCTATTAAATAATTTGTCAAACACCCTAATACTCTATCAGGCTATCACTTTGGGTTTGTGTTTGCTTGTTTGTTTTCTGGACCACCCCTGGTAGTGCTCAGAGCTTATTCCTGGCTCAAGAACTCTTAAATGAGGTTCAGGGAACCATATGGAATGCCTAGAATTGAACCCAGGTTAGCCTTGCGCAAGGCAAATATGTTCCCTACCTTTTGCTCCAGCCCCATGCTATCACTTTGAAAAAGGACTTTTCAATTTTCCTAACTACAAATCCAAGCCTTAGAGAGGAAAGTAATTTGCAATTGGTTCCTTTTCCTTTTAATACCGTTCTAAGAAAAATGGCAAAGACCTAGAAGTTTTAAAACAGGTCTTTATAAATAAAGTATTCAAAGATTTTTGATCTTCTTCACAAAGTTAAGAATCCCACTCCATAAGAAAAATATACAGATTTTGGTAAGAGTTAAAATTCTGAGAGATTTAAGACTGACACCAAGCCTTTAGATTTCTACTGTTTCAATTCCAAAGGACCAGTGGATAGCAACTTCAGTACACAAAACTCCACACAGCTGTACAGTCCCTTTTCTCCTGGGTCAGAAGGCTTTATTCTGCTTCATTAACCCCTTCTTTGCTCCTTGATGGATCTTGGAATCCAGTTTCCCTGAAAGAGAGAAAAAGAACTCTCATTACTTTTTAAATTTGCAATGCAAATTTTTCATGGCCTGCCAGATCTTTTGGTTAATATGTTCCTGTCACATTCAATTGAGTGGCTTTGGGACTCAAGACAATTTCATTCTGCAGGAACAGAGGCAACAGGGACACACAAACACACATGCCCATGTCCTGGCACTCACTGGTCTAGAGAAGCAAAGATGTTGATTCTGTAGAGGGAAAAAAAAAATCGCATTCTCCAGGGCATTCGACTCCAAGGCCAGTGTTTAAAAGAATACACACAGGGGCTGGAGAGATAGCACAGAGATAGCACACAGGGTGTTTGCCTTGCACACGGCTGACCCGGGTTCGATTCCCAGCATCCCATACGGTCCCCTGAGCACCGCCAGGAGTAACTCCTGAGTGCAGAGCCAGGAGTCTGTGCATCACCGGGTGTGACCCAAAAAACAAAAAGAAAAAAAACAAAAAACAAAAAAGAATACACACATACACTCAGGCAAGGGGCTTCTCACAAAGGAAACCCATTTCTTTGGCCTGTTCACTGAGCATAGTGCGTGAAGCTTCTGCAGTGAGGAAAGTGGTTCGCCTCAACCCTCTGAGGCCTCCACCTCCCTGAGACTACTGATCTGAAACAGTGCATACTTGGCTGTAAAAGGGCCCCTGTCACCAGCTCAGAGGAACAAGGGTCATAGGTTGTATGAGTCCAGTATTAAAGTTAGAAACATGCACTCCTCTGCTCCCCACTGACCCTAAGGAGCAGCCTTTCATTGATATGGTTGCTGCCCTCTGACCTCTCCACATTCTGCAGAGAGAGCTACAGCAGGAGTTCTAGGAGCCACCATCATATCCTGAATAGAATCTTCAACAGGTTCCCTCCTGTCTGCCTGGCCAGAGATGAGAACCTGAATGTTGTTTCCTCCCACAAAAAAGGCACGTTGAAAGGCAAGAGTACAGTGGGTGAGGTGCTTGCCTTGCATGTGGCCAACCCAAGGTCAATCCCCAGCATCCTATACGGCTCCCAGAGCCCAGCCAGGAGTGATGCTTGAGCACAGAACCAGGAGTAAGTCCTGAGCACTGCATTTTTGGGTGTGGCTCCAAAAGAAAAACAAATTCATGTAGAGACAACACCGAAATGAAGCATGAAAACAAATAGCTCATTTCGGTTTCAGCCTGAGAAGCAAGGATAAAGAGAGCAAGGAGCCTCCCTCAGAGACAGTGACTGTGCCGAGGTTTGTTTCTCCCTTTTAGCCTCTAGAAAGCACACCTACCTTTTCTGGGCTTCCTCAGAAATGGTCAGTGCCACCCCAAATATATGCTGCTGGTTAGAACTCAGAGGATTCCCAGGGAAGAATTCTCTGATTCCCAAGGTGGTCAGACTGGAAATTCAAAAGTGTGCCAGCAGGCGGGCTAAGTGTGTTCAAAGCAGGTATGCCTTTGTATCCCTAATACCACCACAGCGATTGCCAAGCAATTGGCAGTCAATAAATCTTTTCAGCAAATAAATTATAACAAAGAAGGTAAACACTACACACTTCAAAACTTTTACATTACAGGGGCTCCTCCTTAACCCAAAATAGAAGTGCTCAGAAACATGAGTGACCAGTTAATGACTACAGAGAAGTATTCCATTTCATTCAGCTTTTCAGGACAAGCTGCTACAGCATTGATAAGACCCACATTTCAGTTTCGGCCTCACGGTGAGACTCTGAGGAGGTCACCTCATCATTCTTGCCTTCAACTTTTCCAATGCTAACAGGGAGCTGGTACTGAAGGCCCCTTCAAGCTTTTATACTGTGCCCCACAAAGAAAATGTAAAGTTGAATGATTTATTTCTGAGACAATCTGATAAAATGGCAAGTGTAAGAAATCTGAAGGGAAAAAGACTTGAACAAAACTTTTTCTGATTATGTTTACTTAAATTGTACAATAAGTAAAGGAAAATAAAATCCTACTAAGCTGTGGTGAGGAGTCATTGCCTGGTTAGTTTACACACTACCTTGTTAGTATACACATATTGTCAAGCAAATGACAAACTGAAATAATCATGCTAAAATGCTTTATAAACTCAAAGTCTGCTGGAGAGACAGAACAGCAGGTAAGGTGTTTCCTTTGCACATGGTTGACCCAAGTTCAATCCCTGACACCATAACCATATTTGGTCCCCCAAATCCTGCCACGTGTAATCCTTGAGCACAGAGCCAGAAGTAAGCCCTGAGCACCTCTGAGTATGAACCCCCATTCCCCAACCCCTCTCCCCCCCACACACACACACACAAAGGACTACTGGAGCTGGAGCAGTAGTACCACGGAGAGGGCACTTTCCTTGCACATGGCTGACCAGGTTCAAAATCCAGTACCTATATGGTCCCCTGAGTCCGCCAGGATTGATCCCTGAGTGCACAGCGAGGAGTAAACCCTGAGTAACACCAGAAATGGCCCCCCCAAAAAAAATGACTACCTTCTTCATACTCTCAAAGTTTAAAAATTCCAAGAGTAATTTTCAGAAGACTCCAGTCAGACAGTGAGAGCCTTCAATGAGACTGACTGACGTAAATTCAATCCATTGGAACAAAGTACTCAGTGGTGGGTAATCTCTGGCTTTAATGGAAAACTAATAAGAAAAAGAAGACAAAGGGAGAGGATTTCCAGGACATTCCCAAGGACTCAGAAGTTTCTTTTGATCTGCAGACTGGCTAAGAAAACCACGTATGGGGCCAGTGAGATAGTCAACCCTGGTTTGATCCCTGGCAACATATGGTCCCCTGAGCACCGCCTGGGATCACTCCTGAGCACAGAACTGGCAGTAACTCCTGAATACTGCCAGATGTGCCTCCCCCAAAAGGAGATGATGTTGCAAGTAATCACATGACTACCAATACTAATTCATGGTCAATAAAGGCAAGAGACTGGAGCTTTCTGCATGATGAATCTGCCATGGTTACATGCAGATCCCCAAAATTTTGAGTTATAGTTTAGCCTAGTCTTTAAGACCTTTGACCTGGACATCCAACTATAGTAAAACAAATTACTCTTTTTCAGGGGGGAGGGGAGGTTTGAGCCATCTATGGTGGTGCTCAGGGAACCACGTGGTATACAGGCCGTTAACATGTGAAGTATATGCTTAATCCCTCTGGCCCACAGTACTCTTATTTGGGATCGGGAGCAGAGGAGAGGACAAGGGTTTTTTGACCATGTCCAAGGGTGCTCAGGAGTGACTAAACCTGGGAGCTTGGGGGACCCTATGGGGTGATAGGGACTGAACCACAGAGAATTTCATCCAAGTTCATTCAAACATCTTGCCTCCTATACTATCTCTCCAGCACTAATATACACAATATTTTTACAGTTAGTACACAGTGTTATTAATATAACTACATCCTTTTTACTCTGGGGGTGGGGGGTACGGGCAATGCTCCAGGGTTACACCATGGTCAGGGGGACCAAATGGGATGCTTGGGACAAGCCAGCCATGTGCAAGGCAAAAATTCTACCTGCTGTACTATTGCCTCTGTCCTTAAAACCACATCTTTAATGATGGTGCAAAAAAGAAAATCAAATGTATGTGCAACAGATAAGCAAGAAAGTAAAACAGGAAAAAAAAAGGCTTTGTCATCAGTTGATATAATTCTCATAGGGATTTTCACATGCTTTACATAAGACTAAGGTACTATATGTATGAATTTATAGTGCATCTAATTTAAAGTAAAAGATACCCTTTATCTCTTGGAGGAGTCAATCTATATACTCACTCACTCCTTCACTTTTCCTAATTTGAGCAGACAGGTAAGTGATATATTACACATTTCTCTTTTTGGAATTATATTATTATTATTATTATTATTATTTCTTTTTGGATCACAGCCGGTAATGCCTAGGGGTTACTCCTGGTTCATACACTCAGGAATTACTTCTGGCCATGCTCAGGCAACCATATGGGATGCTGGGAATAGAATCTGGGTGGGCCGTATGCAAGGCAAATGCCCTACCCTCTGTTAAGTTGTAGGTTACACAAGCTCAAGTCTGTATATCCAAAACTGTATTGAAAGTTACTTTATGATACACACATACAACACATGATACAATATGTAAGTCAGTTATATTCTGAAAGCTCATTTGCAAATCAGAGGTTTGGAATTTGGAATACACAAACTAACAGAACTATTTCATAAAAGGTTCCATTAAGAACAGCTCAGCCCTTCCAGAACACCTCACAAAGTGGCTAGGTCCCTAAGCTACTACACAAAACAAATTTATTTCTTTTTTATTTCATTTTTGTGCTATGCCCGGCAGTACTCAGGGCTTACTCCTGGCTCAGGAATCACTTCTAGTAAGGGCAGAGAACAATATGGGATGCTTGGAACTGAACTTGAGTCAGCGCTCTACCTACTGTACTATCTAAAAAAAAAAAAAAAAAATTGGGGATGGGGGTCCCCCACCTAGTTGATGCTCAGGGGTTACTCCTGTCTCAGCACTCAGGAATCACTCCTGGGGTGTGAAGGATTGAGCATTGTGCAAGGCAAGCACCTTGCCCACTGTATTATCACTCCAACTCTTTTACAGAACAAAAGTAAAAAACATTTAAGCCACTGATCTGTACATGGAAAACTAATATTAGTAATTACAATGAAACTTAAATCCTTCATTTAACAGTGTCTCTAGGAGAAAATATAAAGCATTTCAAATTTTGAGTCAAATATGTATTTTCCCCAGAGATTTTTTGTCAGAGCAATCTTAGTATTGTGCGCAGGGTGCTTGTCTTGCAGGTAACAACCCAGATTTAATCCCTGATACCACATAGGGCCCCTAATCCCAGCTAGGAGTGATCCCTGAACACAGAATGAGGAGTAAACCCTGAGTACCATCAAGTTGTGGCTCTCAAAAAATAAATAAATAAATAAGGAGCCAGAGATACTATAGCAGGTATAGTGCTTGTCTTGCATGCACCTGATTGAACCTGGGCTCAATCCCTGGGACCTCATATGGCGCCCTAAGCAGCACCAGGAGTGAGCCCTGAGTGCAAAACCAGGAATAAACTCTGAGCACCACCAAGTGTGGCTCAAAAACAGAAACAACAGCAAAAACAAAAAACCCACATAAAACCATGCTTAAAAAAAGTCTTAAGGTCAGAAAGAGTAGCAAAATGAGCACATACTTTCCATGCAGATGACCAGAGTACTGCATGATCCCCTGGGCGCCAGGAGCAACACTGGATCACAGAGCAGTGAGTAGCTCCTGTGTACCACCAGGTGTGGCCCCAAAACAAAACTAACCAAAAAAAAAAAAAGGCTGAGGAACAATATCAATGCTGTTGTTGGCAACACCTTAATACTGCCTGAAGGAGTATGGTCACAGGGTCACAGGGGAGCAAAATACCACCTCCTCCCAGGTCCAAGGGATTGTATCCAGGGTCTCATACTCTACCACTAAGCAACATCCTTTTATCCAAAATAGAATCTTTTGGCTTAGAAAAAGATTTCAAATGTAATGGGGTTCTAAACGAAAGCTGATGTGACTCATTAACATTTCAATAATTGTTATTCCAGGTACACATTGAAAAAGCTATATTAGTTAATTTAACATTATAGTCACTGGTAAACATAATCATTTAATCTTCCAATACTTAAGATGCCACAGAACAGGGTAAAATGAGAATTTTCTTAAAAAGTGAGATGATCAGACTAAAAGAAAAAATGTTAGTTCTTCAAAATTTATGACTTACAGATTTTTGGATTTCCTTTAATAGGAAACTTCACAATCATTTCCTGGGGATTTGCACAGATGAAAACAAACGGAGAATCTGATTCTTGACTCATGTCTGGATACTATGAAAGAGAAAAATAAGAAATTCAGGCTAGTTGGAGCAATTTTTGAATTTTGAGATCAAATGCTTTCCCAGGTCTGACCTCAACATTCTGGTGATAGCCCTCTCCATTTCAATCAGATAAAGAATGAACTCAACAAGCAAAAACAAACCTTCCAATGTCCTCCAGGCCCAGTGATTGTTTTTGTCTCTCCATGGTATTGAGAACTGAACCCAGGGTCTCACACTTAAAAAGGCTAAAGCTCTACCACTGAGCCATGGTGTTGGCCCAAGCACATCCTGGTCTTCCATAGTCTATTGCCAACCATTTCCCTTTCGATCATGAGAACAGTTTCCTAGGAGAGGTGTGTCTGACATCTTGGAAGAACCAGATCCTGGGGCTGCTGAGATAGGCCAGCATATAAGGCACCTGCTTTGAATGTGGGTGTACCCTGCTTGACCAGAGTTCGATCCCTGGCACTCCATATGGTCACCCAAGCCCTACCAGGAGTGATCCCTGATCCCTGAGCCAGGGGGAAACCCTGAGCACCCAACATGTGGCCCCCAACCAAAAGACAAAACAAAGACTGCTTTGGAAACTCTTTCAGAAATATTTAACAGAGGCCTTCACTAATAAAAAGGAAAATGACTAATTCTGAAAGATATGCCCATGCAAATGCTGTCTTGCTGGATGCATTCAAGACTCCTGAGGTTGTGAAGGTAACTGGTAGAGCAATTCTGAAAATTACACAGAATCCTTTGGTTCCCTATCACACACAAAAATCCGAATACTTAAAGGGCTTTTATTCTTCCTGCAAAGACAGACGCAAAAGTTCCTTAGTGAGGTGCTGGAGCATCGTATAGCGGGTACAGTGTTTGCCTTGCACGCGGCTGACCGGGTTCCAACTCTGGCATCCCATATGGTTCCCCCAAGCACCACTAGGAGTGATTCCTGAGTGCAGAGCCAGGAGTAAGCCCTGAGCGCCACTAAGTGTGACCCCCCCCCGCAAAAAAAAAGAAGTTCCTGGGGTTGAAGTGATAGCACAACAGTTAGAACGTTTGCCTTACACGCGGCAGACCTGGGTTCAATCTCCAGCATCCCATATGGTCCTCAAGCACTGCCAGGAGTAATTCCTGAGTGCATGAGCCAGGAGTAACCCCTGTGCAACACCAGGTGTGACCCAAAAAGAAAAAAAAAAAAGAAGTTCCTTAGTGAGACGAAGCTAGCCACAACAATTAACCATTTAACTACCTTGCAGCTAGCATTAAGTATCGTCGATCTATACCCTGCTGATAGGATGTTTCATTCTTCTGGTTGCAAGGATATGTAACTGGGCCTAACTAACAAATACGCTCGTAGGATACTAAAAAAAGGTGGACATCACTACTGGAAAAGCCTTTCTCCAAGTAACTGTCATCAAAATAAAATGAGTTTCACTAGCTTAAATGTGTCCTCAAAGACCTCAGATATTGTACAGCAGGTAGGGCACTTGCCTTGCACACAGCTCACCTGGGTTTGATCCCCAGATACAGTCTCCTGAGCCTGCCAGGAGTGACCCCGGGCATAGAGCCAAAAGTAAGCCTTGATCACCAAGCCAGAAGCAAGCCCTGGGCACTACCAGAAGAGGTCCCCAAACCATAAATAAAGTGCCCAGTCTGCTAAAGATATAAGGCTTGCCAGGAGAAATGGAGATTTCAGGGGTTTTTGTTTTTTCTAAAAAAAGGAAATTTCTGTCATTCGTGGCAGCACAAACTGTAAGGCGTCTTTCTGGAGCCTTGTCCGAGGCAGCTGAGTTTGCTGTGGCCAACACAGGAGGGAGGAATGGCAGCGTGTGGTGCTTGGCATCAAGAATCGGCAACATTCAGCTATCCCAGGCAGGGTCCGAATGTCTGTGGTAGAAAATAAAGACTAAAGGGGGAAGGGGAAACCCTTTTCATGCCTTATCCCCATATTTCCTTAGAACACAAAAAGAGCTGGGCTGGAGCAACAATACAGTGTCACGTTGCTTGACATGATAGACCTGGGGTTGATCACTGGCACCACAGATGCTCCCCCAGGAAGCCTGCTAGGAATGATTCCTGAATGCAGAGGAGGAATAATCCCTGTATGTAGCTGAGTGTGACTGCAACCCGCCCTGTCTCCCCCACCCCCTCCCGAGAGAGAGAGAGAGAGAGAGAGAGAGAGAGAAAGAGAGAGAGAGAGAGAGAGTTCAAGGAAAAGCGAGGTCCAGCTCTTACTGTGGAAGTGCTTTGGCTGCTGTCAACATGCGGAACCTCATTCTACAGGGGCCAGAGCAGCAGCCACCAAATGACTGTCTCTCTTCTTTTAGCAGAACCCTCTGCCAAGACGCTGTGGCTCTGTCCTTCCTTCCCAAATTGGGAGTTTTCCAGTCATTCTTGCCTCAATTTACATTCTCTTGCTACTGATCAAGCCACAATGATGCTGAAATGTGGAAATAAATTTGCTTTGTTCTGATTTTTGTGTCACACCTGGAAGTGCTCAGGGTTTACTCTTGAAGGGGCTCAGGAGATGATCTGGGGTGCCAGGGATCTAACCAAAGTCAGCTGCATGCAAGGCAAGTGCCTGGAGCCCTGTATTATCTCTCTCTCTGGTTCCACAAATATGGTTTTGATTTTCAAATGACTGGAATACTGGGCTGAAAGATCGATTAGACCAACTGCTTGGTTTGGGGCCATACCAGTGGTATTCAGGGCTCCTCCTGGCTCTGAGCAGGGGACCATTCTGTACCAGGGATTGAATTAGGATCAGCCTCATGCAAGGCAAGTATCTTACTTCCTAAACTAAGATATAGTACAAGAATACTACAGGTACTACTCCAGTCTGGTACTCCTTTTTTTTTTCTTTTGCTTTTTGGGTCACACTCAATGATGCACAGGAATTACTCCTGGCGGTGCTCGGGGGACCATATGGGATGCTGGAAATCAAACCCAGGTTGGCCACGTGCAGGCAAATGCCCTACTCGCTGTGCTATTGCTCCAGCCCCCCAGTCTGGTACTCTTAACTCCCCTCTGCCTCCTTCTTTGCTTTAGGGCTACACTATTGGCCTGGTGGTATGTGCAGTACTACTGTCATGTGCAGTGCCAGGCATCAAACTGGGATTGGCTGTGTGTAGGATAAGTGCCTCACTGCTGCCACCCCTGCCCATATCTCTCCCACCATCTTCCATCAACAAATACCATCATGAGGGGTAGGGCAGAGGATAGAACAGTACAGCAGGATAGTACCAAAAAAAAAAAAAAAAAGGAAACCCCAAATATCACCATCAAGTATATTACTTATTTAAATTATTTGGGCTTCCTGTATTACAATTTTTTTTTGTTTTTGTTTTTCCCATGCTCAGGGCTACTTCCAGATCTGTGCGACCATCATGGGGGTGGGGTAGAGGATAGAACAGTACAACAGGATAGTACAAAAGAAAAAAACAAAAACAAAAACAAAACACCCAAAATATCACCATCAAGTATACTATTTATTTAAATTACTTAGACCTCCTGTATTACGATAAAGATTCCACAGGGCAGGATTTTGTTTTATTCTGGGCCACATCTGGTGATGCTCAGGGCTTACTCCTGGCTCTGTGCTCAGGGATCGCTCCTGGTAGGGCTTGGGAACCATAATGGATGCTGGGGATCTAACGCAGGTCAATGAAACTATAGCTCCAGCCCTGGGCAGGGTTTTTTGTTTTTGTTTTTCTTCCCATGCTCAGCGGATACTTCCAGGTTTGTGCTTGGGGGATGCTGCCAATGGTGCTCAGAGGACCATAAACATAAACCATGCCTGTTTCGGGCATGTTAAGTATGAACTAGCTCTCCTATGTCTCGAATTTTATGTTTCCTCCTCAACACCAAGAATTGTGCCTAGCACACAGTGGGCAAATGATAGATATATGTTCAATGAAAAGACAGCAAATTTGAGAAACTGGACGAGGGGAGTGGGGGGGAGAAAGAGAGGAGAGAAGGGGCGAAGAAGAGAGAGGATAAAGAGGGAGAGGGAGAGGGAGGAGGAGGGAGGGAGAGGGAAGGAGGGAGGGGGAGAGAGAGAGAGAGAGAGAGAGAGAGAGAGAGAGAGAGAGAGAACACTCCACAGGCTCAAGCACAAGCTCATATACAGGAAGTTCAGGTTGAGTCTCTGGTACTGTGTGGGCTTCTGGGCAGAACCAATAGCGACTCCTGAGCATAGAGCTAGGAAAAGCCCTGGAGCACAGCCAAGTTTGGCTCCCAAGCCAAATCCCCCACATCCCCCGCCATTTTACCAAATTTAACACAGAGGTTATCTTAATCATGCTAAAAACATGCAGGGAACTAGACACTCAAAGGACTAGAACTGGGAAAAAGCAGGTGTATCCCTGTAATCTGTTATCCCTCAAGCTAAATTGAAACGTTCATGTCATGGCAAGCGACCAATAAGGTCTTATGTTTAATAAAAACTATCCATATATATTAACAATATTAACAGAGTAAAGAATTGTCAAATGAGAAAAAATTGGAAAAATGATAGATAAATGAAACTTTAGAACCAGTGGTTTTAAAACATTCAAACCCCATAATAAAGATAAACAATAAAATCAACCCTCCCAAAGGAGTTGAATCTGAGTTTATGTAAGTATCCTTTTTCCCAGCCTTTATCAGAGGAAAGTAAAAAGTTCAAGAAAAAGACAATGACTAAAAATGCTTAGAAGGACTAGGAAAGTGTTTGCACCAGGAGTATTAAGTTTCAAGGTAAAATATATTAAAGCAGGGGCTGGAGTGACAGCACAACAGATAGGGTGTTTGCCTTGCACACGGCCGACCCGGGTTCGATCCCCATCATCCCATATGGTCTCCCCTGAGCACCACCAGGAGTAATTCCTGAGCGCAGTGCCAGGAGTAACCCCTGAATATCACTGGGTGTGACCCAAAAAAGAAAACAAACAAACAAAACATATATCAAAGTCATCTTGATAAAATTCAGAACCTTCAAAAAGGTTCTACTGCCAACAGAGTGCACTCTGGACACATAAC